CTTCAACTCCCAGAATTCCCCAGCCAGAGTGGAGTTGAAGTCCACTCATCTTAACGTGGCCAAGTTTGGACAACACTGCTGTAAGGGGATATTAAGGGAATCTTGCAAGACTGAAAGTATTTCTCCCTCCTCTCCTTTTATTCTCTAGAAAACCAGGGAGGGTCCCTTCTGAGATACTTCCCACTCACCCCCTCCTTTGGTGCGCTGAGATACCTTTTACATGCTGGTTGTCCAGTCTGTGGCTCTTCCTCCTGTCTCCCAAGGTCATTCCCACATGCCATTACAATTCATAGAGGCAAAGATTAGATTTTCCTGTTCAGGTGTCTTGCATACTGGGATTTTTTTTTTAAAGGGAACTCATTTTACATGCGTTTCCTACCTAAAAATGACCATAAATTGTTTTAGCAAATATGTTGCTGAAATCTGGCAACACAGTTGGAGGGGATTCCAGCAACTGTAAAAAGCCCCCGGGAGCAGCAGGCCCCTAGGCTTATCAGGCAGAAACTCCCATGCAAGGGATTTCAATCAGGCAGGTCTCAGTCTGTGGCACCCACCCATGAAAGTAAAAGAACCGATCAAAATTGGTTGCCAGGAACAATCTAATTCATAACAGATCCAGAAGACCCCCCTCTCCCAACGTCACCATCAACCGCAATTTCTCAGCTAAAGTCACTGGAACACAGAACCAATGATCCCTAGCCATCTTCAACAACATTTTCTTAAGAGCACTGGGTGGTAGAGCTTGCTTCCAGAAATCCACCTGGCATAAAACAGCTGTGCGACAACACCCACAGACTGTACCAGAGAAAGAGGGAGAAAGACACAGGAACCGAATGCCAAACCTGTCCCAACATCTACCAGATCTACCCAGAAGCAGCCAGGGTTTTATTTCTTCAATATTTACCTCTAACTTGGGTGGACCTGCAAATGGCTGCAGATCTCATTCCTGAAGACTATGGATGCCTATTTGGGAGGACCTGTTTGCATGCAGAATTTAACCCTTCTGTAACACCTAGATTTCTCCCTCCTGTTCAGTCACCTTGATCCTTCATCTTCTCTCCATCCCATTTTGTCCCTTCCCATTCTCTTTCCTTTTTTTCCTGTTTTTTTCTGTTTCTGCTGAAAGGAAAGGAATATTTTTCTTGTGTTTTTCTGCACGGGAGTAGTCCATGACAGAATGATTGGCACATAGCAATGACAGAAAGCATGTGAACCCTTGAGAGCTACTGTAATCCTCTAATACCTACAATGCAGCCAGAGCTTCATCTAAGTCCTATTAACAGACAAGGAACAATACACAACCTGTGTACAGTGCCCTGCCTTTATTGAACACACTGAATCAATATTCACTGTCTTTGTCAGGAAAAGTATGCAGAACTTCGAGTAACTGATGGCACCTCTTTTTGGAGGGAAGATTTCAACCAAAGGTTTCTTGCACTTGTTGATCAATGCTACACATCATTCTGGAAACATTTTGACTCATTCCTCTTTACACAACAGCTTCATCTCACGGATACTGGGGGACCGTCTTGCA